TTTTGGATGTTCCCTCGCATATTAATAAAGTGTAAATTATATTGATTTTGCTATATAGATATAATATATTACGAATGCATTAATTATGAATTATTCAAGATGTTTTTATTTAAATTCTGTAAAAGGAAATTTGTGCTAAGTACCGTGAAACCTTTCTTTACACTTCTCTAATTACTTCTAAATGTTGCCCGTTGCACATCTCTTAGATACTTTCTATGCATATTACATTCATAAGAAAATTTTTCGTAATATTCATGCAAATATTACATGCACATGTTACTTTTTCTAGAATATTAAAAAAATTCTGACAATTTTGACAATAATCTACAAATTGTATTAATTTTTCGGAATTTTACGCAGGATGTTCAAAATATAAGGAAGTTTGAATTTAATGGACAGTACATTAATTTGATCTAAAATAAATTATTCTCATAATTGATGTATCTGTAATAATTGTTAAGATTTTTTTCATTTTGACAACAACGTAGATTTAAGGTGCGCGAAAAACATGCCGCTCTGTTAACGAGAGACAGAAATTTCGAATATTTCAATTTACACTCGGTGGAAAATATCCCAAGAATGTAATTTCCAGCCATTTGAATTGCGTGGAGTTTAGTCGTAAGCGCAGAAAATTAAGCAACAAAGTGTATAAGTATACGTTGCGGTAATTAAACTGCATCTGGGATATCTTCTTTCCGCGCAATGGACGGGACGTGTATTGCACGGAAGGAAAAAAAACGGAACAGGATATCTTATTAATTAATTTATATGTACAGCTGCGGTCGCGCAGCTTCTCTCGGAATGCACGCAAGGCGGTTAACCGACAAGTATATATTATGCACATGCGAAAACTCTTTCTTTAATTACATTACGTGCGCCAAAAGTTTGTTCCATTATGCACGTAATGTATATCGTTGGCACGTGCATTTTTGTGAACGCTTTTTCTTCGCCTTTTAAGAAACGGTGTTTTCAATTGATACGTTCAGCGTTATTTTGCAAAATAAGTTGGCATAAAATAAATTAATATTGTCAATAAAAATCAATATTTAAGTTAATAAATTAAATTAAACAGTTAACATTTACATCAATTGCAATTATATAACTGCGTAATAGTAATTGTTATTGAAAAAAATTGGATATCTTAATTGCAGGAAGAGTTCGAATACCGGCAACGGAGTGGAATATAAAATTTTAGCAGAGGCATCGTAACGTTCTTCGCGCCCGACACAATACGGGAGCTATTCTCGGCGCAATTAATGTCGTTGCCGTACGTGATGAATTCAAAACGATATTATTGGTCGGCCGTCCCAATCGATATCGATTTTTGACGCCGCCAGACGTACACTAATCCGGCGATAATGCTGCGCTATGAACCTGTACAATCCGTCGCGTTTATCTCAATAAATATAGCACCTCGCGCTGTAGGCTGTCGCGAGCAGACTGCGCGCGCCCATAGATAGTTATTTCTCTCCTCTAGATATCCGTGCAGAACGCGCGCGCGGAATGGCGTACACTTACACGTCGTAGTGAATTGGTTTACTTGATAAATGTTTTACGTCACGGCCCGAAATGGCAGTTTTATACGAAGCTATACAGTATCGACTATTGTATACCGTTATATAAACGCTATCTCTCATTGTGCGATATCTATCATTTTTTTGCCCCCGTAAAAGAAAATAATGGGTATACACGTCTCTGCGTGACTACATATATTTAATTTTAGATCCGATAGAACGTCACGATGTTCTCTCGGAGTTTATAATTCAACCCTCACCGGGATTATCCGGAAGAACACACTGGCGCGCTTCAGACGAAACGCGATGCTCAAGCGCCTTTCGCGTAATGCGCTGCTATCACGTGTCCGCTCCCATTCAGCCGTCAATCGTCGCGACGAGAGTCATCATCGCGGAGCGCATCCGCCGAGGTGTATTGTGCCAGGCGAAAAGTAGCGTATAGCGGCGGGAACACGATCGAGAGCGAGGGTGGGCGAAAACACGGGATTTTCATCGCATGCATAATTTGTCGGCCCCGCAATTGCGTCTTCCCATTACAAGGGAACCGCCTTGCTCGAGCGTATTATCCGCGTGTACGTGTACAATGGAACGTGCAACGCGAACGGTGGTATACAGCGGATGTATAGACACCGAGGCTCCTAATACAATTGCGCCAAGTTTTGCCGGTGCAACGCGAGATGGTACGCTGGTCTCCCCCACGCGCGTCATGGATGTTCGTACCGGATCCGTGCCATCCTAGCTACCAGCGGGTCTAGTTTACGGTCCGACGGCGCGTAGCGCGCCTTATTAATAGTTGCACTTGGAAACTGCAACGCCGTTGGTCGCTGTGCACAGCGCGAAAGATTAACAATATGTGCTCCGTTCGAAGTTGTTGCTCCGTTCGGATATAGAAGAACCCTCGAACCGCGGCTGTTTGTCATGCGGGGGAGGTATGGCTTGAGAGCAAAACACCGCCGCCGCGTTGCAAACTGACGTTTTGGTTCATTAACAAGTCAGATATTTTCGGTGTGGTGTGTTTGTTTCAGGCTTCGGCATTATCCGTCTATTCCGACACGTAGCTGCGCCAACTATTCCGAAAGATTTCGAGTCGTCAGGCGCTTTTTCATTTTTGCCTCTCTATTTTCGCCTGTATTTCCGCCTCTTTTAAGCGGACGCTTATAAGACACCGCTCTGAATAATTAAATTATGCAGTTAAACAGCGAAATGTATATCTCGTGCGGTTTTCATTGAGCGAGCGCTCGTGTGGGAGGACTAAAAGATATTATGCGTTGCAAATAAAGTACTCGCGAGCGAGTACTTCATGCAAGGTCGGACGTACGAAAGAGGAGAAAAGCGGGTTTTAGTGAAACATGGCTTATTACGTACGGTGGATGTTTTATAATGGCTCGTTTAAGTGTCATTTTTTAGCACTTGGGAAATATAGCTGTCGGTGCTTATCTAGAATAATATCAGTTGCCTTTTAACAAATCGCGCTGTTCGCTTTATTATACGTTCGCCGCTATTCCTTCTTCATGTTTTATTTTGAAATTATAAATCGCGTCGCAACATATGCTATTTATCTCCTCGGTTCCTCATAAAATAGCAAGAAAGTAACTATTTTGTTGATAGACGTGAAATTACTTGTTCGATTTATGGTAAAATCACGTTTACGGTCAAATATTTTGTATAATTGATACATAACGTAAAGCCGCCGCGAGATGATCAGTGAGAAGCAAATGAATAATGACATGAAAGAATGATTAATGTATCTTCGGTTAAACGTAAACAGCATAATACATAATTATAAAAATGATCTGCTTTTCAATATTAACATGTGTCTTTGTTTAGTCTCCGTTAATTATGTTCGTTACCGCGTTGTCTTCTTTCGTTCTTTTCCAAAAGAAAAACTTCATCATGCATGTCTTTGTTAATTATACTAGATGCTGTCTTATATCTTTTCTGGTAAAAAGTGAGACGGAGAGAAAGAAAGAAAGATAAAGAAAGTTTCGTCATTGCAAAGATCTGGCTCTAGTTTGAATATTATTTTCATAGAATAGCGCGAGTAAACTTTATACCGGCACAAAAATGTAAAAATGTAAAAATGTAAAAATGTAAAACTGGACTTCGTTGATGAGATCGCGAAATATGATTATAAAATAAGCAGAAACTCCGGACGAGATCGCGACATACCATTTACGACCGTTATATTATACCAAGTAAATTAACGACACGCGACGGTTAGACGAAACCGGTGGAATTAATTAGCGCTCATAATTGCTCAGTGTGCCTCTCTGCATCTCCCGATGTATCACCCTGCCCTTTCTTGTCGCATTTCTTCTTGCTGTATATTCTCATTAAATTTACTCAGTAGCGATCTTATTTCAAACTGCTACTTTCATTCCCTCTCAAGGGACGTCGACGTTGTCGACATTATAGCACTTCCGATACAGTTATACTTAATTAATCTCTCGAGATCTTTGCAGTTTCTAGTACTTTTTAAATATATCCTTTGTAATTCTATTCGAAATTATCGAATACTTATAATACAAGAATTACGCGCTTTTTTTACGTTATTTCAGTAAAAATTTATATATATGTATATTTACTGTGTAAAAAAATATTATATTCTATTGCTCTATTTTATACGTATAGGAAAACGTGGAATGTATAATACTCGCGAAAATGAAGAAATATTGATATATTGTATGTAATTGAAAGCTATCATGTGCAAGAAGTTGCGGGTAAATTAGCAATAGATGGGAAAATATTGTAAAACGTGTCCACACGTTTATATAAATAATAAAATATAAACGACAAATCTCTATAATCTTTAAAATTTTTTTATCAAGAAACACAGTCAAGTATATGCATTCGCGACACGGGTGTTCACTTACCTGCCACATGGGACCAAGCGATACCAAGTCATCTGCGATACTATGCAGATGTGCAGCCATAAAACGGACTTGCATTGAGGCATGTATTATTAGAAGGCGTATCTCCTTGTAAGCTATAGCTTCTCCTTCGATCGTATCAGATCGGAACTGATTGACGCTCAGGGATACACCCGGGTTAATTACGAAATCAATGCGAGCCACAGACGCGTTCTAAGCTGTCCGGTCTAAGCTGCCATTATAATTAATTAATTAGTCGTGCGAGATGACTTAACGGATCGCCGGAGATACGCTAGGAAATTCCATTTGGCCGGAATGGCGGCTGAATCATAAACGAGAGATGTTTCACGCGCAACCATGACGCAAAGCTAATAAATAATCGCGCTATGATGAAATCGATTTGTATAAACTTACAGATTATTATTGTAAAATCCATAAGTGCCGATTAAGCCTTCTATTTTTTGTTATTATGGCTGCTATGCTCCTTTTGAGAATTTGCATTCGGCATGGGTTGATTGTTCCGCGGAAATCAAGATCACTAAAATAAAAATTAAGTATTGTTAATCGGTTGGTTAATAAGGATTGAGGAAGTTACACGAATGATTGAAATAATCAATTTACAGCTTTGTGGGGTACTTTTATTAACCGAAAGCCTAGGCTATAATAAAGAATGCTATGTGTATACATATCCTCTATCTATATACAATAAACCGATTTTTTTTTTGCACAATATTTGATACACAGTTAACATTTGGCAACTTGGAATCGATTAATTCTTCTTCTTTTTTCTTGGCAGGAATCACATTTAGTCTTTCACAATTCAAGAGTTCGAATGTGTTCGTCCGAATGTCACGAGATGTGTGTATGTCCGCCTCGTAACGTGATATTATCAAAATTGAGGAGGCTAGATCACCGACCGTTCGTAAAATCTTCCCTATTGCGATGTCTTAAGGACGCGACGTCTCTCATCGTGGATCGCGTTTCTTCTTAATTACGTTAGTGCTGATCATTAGAGACTATCAATACGAATAAGTGTAATATTGCTTGCGCAGCACTATAAAGACGAATTTCACGGATACACATCTGCATAAACATCGTTATGCCGCGATGTTTCACGTTACATATTTACAAAAAGGTGTCGCGTCAAGTGCGTGATACGCGAAGGAGTCTCGGAATTGTGAAGGAAATTTCAAACGGCGTAAAAAATCAGTCTTCGTACGAGAGATTCGAAGTTTCGAGAGGGTATCGAAGGTGAGAGAGGGTCGATACGTCGTTGTGCTCGGTTGCTCGTTTCGTAAAAGCAGCGGGGAAATAAATCGCCGATAACAGCCGGCGGTTTTTTCCCCATGGTGTACATCGTAAAAAAGAAGAACAATCGTTAAAGAGTAATCCGCTCCGGTAAAATCTTCTGTCGAAATGCTAATTTTATCGCGTACGTTTGATTTTCTCGCAGGCAGGTATTTCCTTAGATTTCACGCGAGAATGTTTCCCAGTCTTTCGGAACGAGTTTCGAATGTCATGTGACGTACCGAAGTCGCGCATATTGACAATGCTTTCTTGTTAATGGGTGATAATGAGATTAAGTCACTCGAGGACGTTCTTTTCTTCTCACAGCGGAAGTCGCGCGTTTACACTCAAGCGATCGGCGGGGGTGAGAAGGCTTGTATTGTGGCGTGGAAACACGTATTTTTGGCACTTTGCTACGTCGAATTCTTTCCTTCGGTGCACAAGGCGAAGCTTAATCGCGAAAATATTGACGTCGCGGTCACGTTCGACGATATATAGTACAAAAAATTGTTCTATGTCGAAGTGCTGTTGTTGATTAAAAAATTTTACCGATTGCCGTGCTGTTTTGATTATTTGCTAAATCGAATAGCGTTTGTGGATTATGCTCGCGGAGTAAAATAAATTATGTTAACTCGTAACAGCCCCGGAATAAAATCACGATCATCACAGATCATCGTTCCACTTTGTGATCGACATGTTCGACGGTTTCTAATTTGATTTATTTGAAACGCGCATTAAAAGTTCGAAGATCCGGTACTACCTGCGGCTGTCCCGTTTTTCGTCACTTTATCCGACGACACCGGAAGTGTCATTGACACGACGCGTCGTCGTCCTCTCGTGCCGCGCGATTATTAGCTGAAGATGCTGGGTGACACGGTTTTCATCTCGATGTCGTGTTGAGCGGTCTCTTTACGAGACTCCTTCGCCTTCTGCTACGAGCTGAGGGGCGGGGGCCCGATGTTACTGATGAAACTCGGACAGGCGTTCTCTGCCCTGTCGCCGCTCTGCAACGAGAAGTGCCTGTAGGACATGTACTCCGGCGGATTCGAGGACAACGGCTGATCCCGCTTGATCGTCGCTCGCTGCTTCTTCATTTTCATATAACCGAGAACGGAGATCAGGACCACGAAGACCACAAAGCCCATGCAGCTACCCACGATCAGGCCCAGCCGTCTCGTGAGGATATTCGCCAAGCTGCCCCTGTCGCTCATCGTGCCGTCGCCCACTATCGAGTCGGGCGCGTCCAAAGTTCTGACCTCGGTGCACCGGCTCGTAGGCGAGTTTACCATCACGGGCAACGAGGAACCCTCGATCACGTCATCGGTCGAGGCGTTCCACTGCCAGGAGCCGATGTCCTCCGGGATCGGGGTGCCCCAACTGCCCAAGCCAAGTACGCAGATCAGGTAGCGCGTGTCAGATGCCAACTTCGTCAATCTTACCGAACGTGCCTTCGGATCCAGCAGCTTACCTCGAACCTGTAACCCCGGCGGAAACGTTTCGCCGTCAACATGTGCGGGCCTCTTACTTTCGCGCCGAGTAAATAAGAAATGACCAGTACATTTGTCTATATAATAAACCACGCGTGAAACTTTAGTATATTACTTTTAATATTGTGCCATATTCTGTAAGAAAATATAATAACTGGATAACTGGAGAAAAATTATAAATTTTGCAAATAGCTACAGGAATCAATAATTTTACTAAAATTACATTATGTACATAAAAAATAATAGTAATATAACAATAAAAGCAATTTTATCTGAAAATATGTAGTTTAATAAAGAGACATTCTCACTTATAAATTATATATAGACAGCGTAGTTCTTCTTTTTAATTTGATGCTTCCTTCCCGTTCACTTTATTCAACGTAGCGTAAAGTTACGATTTTCCTCGCGCAATAATAAAAACTTTTACCTCGTCGACGTTGTCCAAGGCATGATATGCCACTTGGTATCCGTGGAGGCCGGAATGATTCCTGCTCTGCCACGATACCAGAACGGAGAATGGCTGAATGTCTTGAATTGCGAGTTTCAGGACCAGCGGAGCGGAACAGAAGGCGTGGGGGTCAAGATCGAGGAAGACGAGACCCCGGAGCTCGGGTGGCTGCTCGCATCTTAACAAACCGCCCTCGACGTCACCGACTCCGACACCATTTCTTCCGCGGCTACGACCACCGCCGACCCCGCTCACCAATTTCTGATGGTCTCTCAACCATTCCCACAATTCTTGCGATTCGCAGCCGCAATGCAATGGGTTTTCTGCCAATGAGACCAGAGCAAAATTTGCTATTGTTCGCGACGTTCTACTCATCAAAAATTGATTTAAAAACCAAACTAGATATTTCGAAAAACATCGATAGCGAGTTGATACAACTTGTTAATTAATACATTGACTGGGAGTTTCATGTAGAAACATGTATACCTGTGGTCGACTATTTTTCATACAAGCCAATTTAACGGGAACAAAATTACATGTACAATGTAAAAAAAAAAAAACAAGTCACGACAAAGAGTAAAAAATAAACTCACCGATCCTATAATATAATGAAAACTTTATCAATTTTAAGCTCTAACGACAGATTGAGAAGAGCTTAACATAAAATTAAGTTTTAACAATTTTAAGCTCAACTTTGCACGATAATTTAAACTCTCTCTAAACAGTGAATTCGTCACCGGTCAAAATGTTCGGACAATAAAAGACGACCTGATACATCTTCGGTCAATAATGTGTTAATAAACATAATATGATAATTTATAGCAATAAAAATATGATGATTTCCCAATATCGAGTATGTATTTGAATATAAAATGCTAGATTATTTTGTTATATGTATACCTATTGAATAACGTATATTCGAATCACACAATTCAATTATTGATTATAGATTATAGATTAATTCACTCAGTTAGCACAAGAATATATTTGTAAGTTATATAAGTTTGACACAAAAAAAGATTCTTAAATATTTTGTATATGTTGCAACTGCTTTTAACTACAATGAGACTCTATTCATTCTCCACAGTTATTTATTGGAAATTTAATTCAAATGCTTAATTAAATAAAAATGTAGATATATAATAAATGTATAAGTATTATAATAAATATAAATCTCATTTATTCTGCCACGCATCGTAACTGACTAAAATTAATTACAAACCTCATGCATTAACAATAATTAAATTTTATGATTCCAGTTTAATACTTTCCAATTAGCATAAAACATATCTGCGTGATTCATGAATAAACCGATTAACGAGATGATATTTTATTGTCGTATATATAGTAATATATGCCATCTCTTTTTGTACGTTTTATAAAAAAAAAGACTTTTATATAATCAGCGATATATTTTAAACAAGCTTTCGAGAAATATCAAGACGGTATGAGAAATCCAAGTTCGTGCAGGATTTCGTTGAAGAAAATGAGTTATGAGAACTTGTTTGATTGTTTCAGTGTTGAATATTGATTCAAGATATGGCGAAACGTGACCGGTGATGCGATTGATTTTCAAGTAGTAGTAACTTCATTCGGATCGATAGCCCCGCCGTATATACGAGAGAAAACTCTCGGATATCGTTTTCTTTCACTCGCAGTCGTGTCGTTTTTTCTCGAGAAAGAATGACCACGCGCTTGCGAGCGCGAAATTAATTACAAATATATCTTAGGTGTGTTTAAGTAGCTCACCTTCAGCTCGCAGGCTTCTTATTTGCGTTTCGAGTGGCCGGAAAGCGTTCAACGGCAGATTCTCCAAGTAATTCCTACTCAAGTCAAGTAGACGTAACTTCTTCAGGGGTCTAAATGCCTCGCTGGAGATGGCGTTTATCCAGTTACCATAAAGATGCAGCTCCACCAGGCTAATTAAATTCTTGAACGTCACTTTGCCAACAATGCCGATCTGATTGTAGGACAGGTCCAGTATTTGAAGGGACTTGAGATCCTCCGGGAACTCCTCCAATTCTTTCAGACGGTTGTGCGTTAAATTGAGTATCCGTAAATGCTCCATGCCCTGGAGTCTCTCCTTCGGCAAGATCTCCAAGCTGTTCATGCCAAGGTGAAGAGTGAGCAAATTCGGGAGACTGCGAAACGCGCCCGGCGATACTCGCAGGATGCGATTCTGACCCAGATAAAGATGCAACAGCGCCGGAAAGGCCTCGAAGTCTTGTGAGGTTACTATACTCAGATTGGTGCCGGATATATGCACCTCTTGGAGAATAGGATACATCGCCTCCGATGGCAGATCCTGGATTCTGTTTAGAGGATTTCGCGTGAGATTTAGCCAGGCCAGACCGGGAAGATTCTGACCCGAGAGAGCCACCGCGGGTATCTGTCGGAATTTATTTTCCGACAAGTCTACTCTTCGCAGTAAGGACGAATGCGCGAAAAAGTTCGCCGGTAGAGCGTTCAAATTATTATGGCTGAGATCCACGGATATCAAGAGCGACAGATTGGCCATCGCGAATCCGGACATCGTTTCGATCTTATTGTGGCTCAGATCCAACTCTCTCAGATGCTTCAAGCTGGCGAAACTAGCCACGTCGACGTTGAGGATCTCGTTGGTCGACAGCGTGAGGATCTCGAGATTAAGAGCGCTCGCGAGCGCCGAATACGGGATATCTTGAAATCGATTGTGATCCAAGTGTAGCTCGCGCAACGTTAGTAATCTGTCGAAAATGCCCGGCGGCAGGGCACGCAGTTGATTATGGTTCAAGTGTAGACGCACCAGATTCCGATTCAGCACGAAAATGTTTTCCGGTAATTGACTTATTTGTGAGCCATCCAGGAACAGCTCCTGCAAAGACGGCAGCCCGTTGAAACAGTGTTCCGTGATCTGACTGAAATTGTTGCCGGACACCGCGAGTATTCGAAGACCGGAAACGTCCAGACGTAGCAGCGCCGTCGCCGTGAGAAGATTGTCGTTCAAGTTGAGATCGAACAAGTTGCTGAGCCCGCGAAAGGCACCCTTTTCCAGCGTAGTTATCGAGCAGTTCTTCAGATTCAACGTTTTAATTGGCAGATCTTCTTGAAAAATTCCGTCTTGTAAAACGGTAAGATAATTATTCGCCAGATCCAATACCTTTAGTTTCTTAAGAGCCGTCAACGCGTAAGGATCGAGTCTTTTCAAGCCGTTATCTTGCAAATATAGCTCTTCGAGCTCGTGCAGTTCCGAGAATGTCCTCGCCGTTACGTGACTCAGTTTATTCATGCTGAGCTCGAGAAATTTTAAAGCCTGCATCGGCTGAAAAGCGGCGTCCTCGATCCTGGATATGGAATTGTTCGTCAGATAAAGGCGCTCCACTAAAAGGAGATCCCTGAAGAGAGGAGCTTGCAGGTGTGTAAGCTTGTTGTGACCCAGCCACATGATTCTGACGGACGCTTGGCCGCGCAGGGAGTCATTGTGCAGAACGGCCAAGCCGTTGCTGTCCAGCTGAATAGACACCAAAGAGCTTCCGCCGGAAGACGATTCTGAGGCGGACAGCTGAAAGACGTCGCCGAGCATGGTCAACTGATTGCCCTGCAGATTAACGTGCTGGAGACTATTCAGCGTTCTAAGCGCGCCCGTCTCCATGGAGGTGATGGCGTTGTTTTGCAGATGTAGTTCGAGAAGCGCCGGTAGCGGCGTGAAGACGCCACGCTTCACCTCCGTTATATGATTATCCTGCAGCCGCAGCTCGCGCAATTGATGCAGTTTAAGAAATGTGCCCGGCTGTAACTCGCGGATCTTGTTACCGTCCAGGGAGAGCGACGAGAGGTTCTCGCAATGCTCCAGGAATTCCCGCGGCACCTTCTCGATGTAGTTGTTACTCAGATGCAATTGCGCCAGCTGCGTGAGACTCGTGAGACCCTTGGCGTCGATTCTACGGATGGCATTCTGCTGGAGATACACCACCGCGAGGCTGACGCTGCCGGCGAACGCATCTCCCGGGATCTCCAGGATATTGTTTTCCGCCAGATAAAGTTCCCTCAGTTCGGGCAGTCGCGCGAACACGCCGCCGATGTAGTGAATATGGTTATGACTGAGCTCGATCGTGCGCAGTCGTTCGTTCCCCTTGAATGTCGCCACGTCGAGGAAGACTATTTTGTTGTGGCTCAAATCGATCGACTCTAGATCCTTCAGCGACGCAAAGGCGTCCTTGTGAATGCTCTCAATGGAGTTGTAGTAGAGAGATAGGGTATGAAGAATGGGACAGGGTCTGAAACAGTCCTCGGCCAGTTTTTCGAAATTGTTGCTGCTCAGATCGAGGATCAGCAAGGAGCTGAGGAGGCTGTAACCGTCGTCGGGCAGCTCCGATATTTCGTTCCACGCCAGCCTGAGCGAAGCTAAGCTCTCGAGTCTTCTCAAGGGAGCCATGGGGAACAGCTTCAATTTGTTTTCAGCTAGATCCAGATCGCTGAGACTGTCCTCGAGGCCCGCGAACGCGTATTCGGAAATTTTCGATATTTGATTCCCCTTCAGAGTCAGCTTCATTAGCTTCAAGCCGTAAAAACAGTAGGACGAGAGGTCCTGTATCAAGTTCGTCTCGAGATCTAAGGCAGCCAGCTTTCGTAGATCGGCCAATGATTTCTGAGGCACGTGGGGCAAACGGCCGGAAACCAGCGCCAGGGATTCCAGGCTATCTTTCAAATTCGTGAAGGCGCCCTCGCTCACTTCTCGCAAAGATGAATGTGATATTTGAAGATGCCTGATTTGCGAGCCGGGAGGGAAGGCACCCTCTTTCAGTTCTTCGATGCTTTTGTCGAGCTCGTAAACACTCAACGACTGTACCATCGTGCCCGCGCCTGAAACGATCGTAAAGGGCATGGCCATTAATTTTATTGAATCGCGATAACATAAACTTTGAATTTGGCAGCATTGGCTGATTGCACGTTTCATTAGTTTTATGGGGCGCATTAAAGAAAATGGTTTCCTTCAACCACGTTAACTTTAACTTTACGTTGAAGCTACATGGAAATATAAGAAAGCGCACATGTAATAGTAACTCGGCATTAAATGAGCTGTGACGAGTAAGTTTAATAGGGCAGTCAATCGATAGAGCCGATACTTTTAAGAATGTCGCTAAGCATACTTAATCGTAAATATGATGTAATATATAAATTCTTTCACACAGACAGTTATTTTAGAATTTATATAAAAGCACTATATATATATATATATATATATTTTGTTCCTCCATTATATCGTCAAGAATTCTTGACTCTTATCTCTTAAACATTTAGCTTCTTACCGCTAGTACTTAGCACGCCTTGTAGCGTTGTTCTTAGAGTCTCTTCCGTAGCGCCAGCGCATTCCAGAAAGAGACCGTCTTCAAAGTTATAACAAGGACAGCCCGTTATTATTTCCGGAGGTGGGCATTCGGCTATCTGAGCAACGGCTTTAAATGTGATAAAATTCTGAATTAACAGAATCTGAAGGACCATCCTCGGTATCCGCCGCCGATCTACAGCGTACGGGTAATCTACCCGTCGTTGCGGATCTCGCGTCATCGTATCGTCACATCCGTAATTCCGTTTTTCGCCTGCCAGACTGCAAGAAGCTTTCTGAAACATAAAAGTCACGAAAGAAATTGAAATCGAATTTGCGATATTACGTTACGTAACTCGAACGACGAGTTACTTGAATTCGTGAAAAGAAAATTTCAGCAATGTGTTTTAACTTTTTCCGTTTATTTTAGACGTTACGAAGTCGCAACACCTTTAAAGCTACACAGAATTATATGTTTTAACGAGTTGCAATTACTCCACTTGTATGTTTATACGATATAATAATGTTATTATCCTTGTAAAAATTTTCTTAACAAATATTTACAACTGCCTTTGCCATGAGAGATTCTTGTCTGAATAAATCCGCGGATAAAGTTAAACTTCGCCTGCCAGACGCTATGCAGCGCGTGTTGGTGCATGTTTACGAAAAAGTACGGCCAAGCTCTCAGAATAGTGCGAATAGCTTCCTTGAATAACAAAGAGTGCACGTCTCGCTAAGACGGAGGTGCATACGAATATACGAGGACATAAAAATTATTTGACTCGTATGAGAAAAAATTGCGTTATCTTTATCGTCTCTCGAGACAGTCGCTTTTTTTTCAATAGAAAAAGAAAGCTCCTTTTGTCGAAATAATTTTCGAATAACATATCTCTGCACTCGTAAAAATGTATATCAAATATATTCATTGTGAATAATTTAGATTGAACTGATTATATTATTATTTTTTAAAATATTGGTTGATCTTTTTGGATTTTGGTCTTCATCACTTTAATATCAAATTAAAGCTGGATTTAGCTGGATTATGACTTTTCGAAATATTTATGGTAGAGAATATTGGCAAATGTAACAATTTGTAATAAATTTTGAAACATTTATGAGAAAATTTATTCTCTTTTTCTATTTATCTATCTATCTCTCTTTGTGCGTCCATCATAAAATTATTTTATACAAAAGGCAATTACTATAATCACAGAGAGACTACTTTATAATCTGCTGTAATCATAACACTCATCTTTATAAAAGGTTTCATTAATAATCCGAAAATTTCATCTCTTGCCTTTTTCTGTTTTTCTACCATATATTTTTATACACTAATAGTATTCCGTTACGGGTGATTAGATCAGAAATCGAAACCGGAATCTTTCCCTTGCCAGACGATTGCTTTTACCATTAAGCTATCCAGATTTCACATGCTGATGTTTCTTCTCGTTTATATATATCCTAACGTCGTTCACAATATACATGTATGCGATACACAGTGATTCATACAATTTATAGAAGAAATATCTTGCTTACGACTGAGGGAGGACAGAGGATATAGAAACAACCCAGATAACAGAGTGATATGTCAAATGACGTATTAATAACGTTTTAATGACGCATTTAACGTCAATAACACGCCATTAAGACGTCTTTAGATGACATCTTGTTACCTGAGAAGTCGACAGCCGACTTCTCAGGTAGCAGGATGATATTTTATGTTATATAATGTTACTCGTTTTGCTGATATAATGCATTTACAACGCGTAATGAAATTTTTTTTACAAATAAATGTTTCTTTCTGCATAAATTAATATCTTTTATTGTGAGTATAAAAGTATTGAGGTAAGTTTATCGAAAAATCAATAATTTATTAAATATTTCAAACTTTATTTAGACTTCGCGTGAAAAATATTGTACGTAATGTTAGCAACTTTTTCGACTATATCCAAAGTTTTATGTAGTAGAAAAAGTTTGATATATAGAACTGCTATTACTGAATATAACATGACACGAAGTTGCATACACAAAGGCAACATTCTTAATTCGATAGTGTCTATCAAGGGAATAGTGTTCAGACACAGAGACGTCGACAGTAGTCAACGATGCTAATAAGTTTCTATCTAGATAACGTCAGTTGAGCAAATACAGGACAGGAATTGTTCATAAATTTGTTATCTATACAAAGTTGTGTTTTCTGTGTAGTATTCAATAGAAAATCTATATTATATGATGTTTTCTAACTAAACGTTGATAAATACGTTTCTAAAAGATGACATGGTCTCTCTTATTCTTCACAATTGAAAATATATCAAAATTATACTGCGGCACTGATTGTAGAAGTACAATAACCAAGCTTTTCTTATAATATAGTAGACTTCTCACAAAGATGATATGTTATGCACTGCAGAAAAAGGACGAACAGCCATAAAGCTCTTTACGCGTAATCGAGCGGCGGCAATGGCCGATTCAGAAATCTGTATCACAAAGACGGTGTCTAGACCGAATCGATTTTTCGCGAACGCCCAGCCGCGATATCGCGCCATTCACGCCCAACTGAATCCACGAATGCCTCTTCCTTCTGACCCGGCTGGAGGATCGCGGCTCGAAAAGCCTCAATAGGGGCACACCAATCTCGTCTACATTCACATCTGCGTTCTCGCGGAGTGTCGACGAGCGCTACGTTTACGATCGGGCGGTAAAAACACACAGCAAAAGACGTTTCACGGCATGTTCGTGCCAAAGGCTTTAAAACTCGAATCCAGTAAGGCGTGTGTCAACTCCGCCGGAAAGCATTCGGAAGAGATCACTGAAGAGGTCTTTCGGCAAAACATGATTAACTAAGTCTGAAAAATGTTGTGCTACACTAAAATACTACTGAGAACTATTTCAAGAACATTTTTTACAAGTTTGAAAAGCATTTATTTGTCAGAAATATTTTTAGTCTTAAACGTAGAATTTCTTAGCAAATAAAATATCTGTTGAAATGACAGGAGCAAACAAATAGCAATCTCGCTAATACACACGATAAATACGCTTACGTACATCTACGCGCGCGAAGACATCGTAACAGGGAGAGTAAATGAGTCTTCGACTTCGGGGGAAATCGTATCGGATCTTCCTCTCACTGTGTTTACTATCGAGCGAGAGAGTCAACGTACTACGATTATTTTGCAGCAAGCGATTAAGGGCGGATTCACTTGGAATTCAAGAAACGTTTTCAATTTGAACATTAATCTTCGTAGAGAAACGTCAGCGTTATATCGGAATCCCGGTTGCAGGTTGCAGCTATCTTTCCTTAAGTATTTCGATCAAGTGGCTGGGCAAACTCAGTGGCTCTCGGTATACCTTTCCGGTTTTTATTCGCCCTACCTATCTCGGAGAATATGTTGTTCGCGAGGCATATGTTACATTCCTGGCACGATCGCCATAAACGTTCCATGCACCAGGAATCCGATGTACGACGCGCCATTAGTAAGTTAAGATATCGCGAGCGTATGAAGCTTCTCAATTTGGATTATTGGCGTATAATATTAATAGAATTAAATCACACGATGGCAGATGGATCAGCGATCGATTCTAGCGCAGGGGTAACGGCGAACTGCCTATGAGTATATTTACGAAAACAAATGCATTTTCTTCATAACTATTCCTAATGACATTAAATATATCCAAGATAAAATTTTAATTATTTTCCAATATTTATTTTTATTTCGTAGATTCTTTCATCCATATATAAAAAAATATTTTTTATTTTGTTAAGATAAATATGAGACAGAAAGAAAAGGAGAGAGAATTTAGTCCATGTGTCGGCTTGTTTGTCAATCAGCAAGTTTGAAGTTGCTAAAGAATACCACTGTGTGAAGGAGGAGAATTCGTCTACCTCGCACGAGTGGTTCAAAGCACGCTCTTTTCAAGCCAACGCGACAGAGGATTATAACTCGCGAAGAGAAGAAGGTAGTTGAGAATTCAGTAGAAAATGCGCTTTACGAGACATACATCGTTTCGATCCAAGTGTACGGGCTATATGTATACGTACTCCTTGAGAGCGTACTCAGCGCTTCATGCAACACCAGCGGTAATAAAGCGCGAAAACGTTTCTCCGTTGCTTCGTGGCGCTGTTTTAACGCGATGAAAACAGTCAGCGCACTTCCGCGCGAGGAAAAACGAACGTGTCTCTTTCAGCACGTCCATTTCACCGTCAGAACCTCTCGCCCTGCCCAAAAGAAGTTTCAGCAATGGAATTAAAAGGTTTACGTGAAACTAAAAACGTTCTTCTCGTTTTCTCGATTCTTTGTTGAGTTATTTGCCACTTTGCACTGCTATGTTTTTGCATCGATTTACGGCGTAAAAATTTGTGATAAAAATATATACAGATATGTAGATATGGGATATATAAATACAGTTTAAATTTTTACAAGACGATTCTTGGAAGAATTCTGAAACATTTATGTTGCGAGAATTTCGTGAAACTTTATATTTATTCTAGAAACAATTATATCTGCAACGTAGAATTTGGATTTTTATCGTAAACACAGTAAAATGTTATCTAGAATATATTTCATCGATAAAATAATTTAATTTTATAGAATTTAGTTCATTAAAGATGTTCTAACAAGTTCATATTATAAATTTCGTTCTCAATCGTTCATAAAAACTTGCTTCGTTAACCTTATCAAAGCGGTCATTATTGTTAATGACTTCTTCTTTTCTGTTTTTAGTATGTAATCACTACCTTGTTCAACGCTCCTTTTTAAATGCTTCTTGAATTTTACTGTTCTAAATTTAAACGCCATTTTTTTGTTTCATTCCTTCTTTTTTCTTTCCTTTTATTTATCCTTATGTGACGGATTCACTTTAAGAACTTTTTTATAATAGAGAGATTGTGTCAAGTAGCTTCGTATCTTGAGCTAATTGTAAGTTCAATCTATTTTTTGTAATTTTATTTAAGCATTTTTGAGAGCGCATAAAATGGCTTCTGATTTAAAATTTCTACAGTTTGTCAATCGATGTCATGATTGATTTCAAAACGTGGTTTGTGATGATTGAATATATTAGGATGGAAAATATTTGTCTTGTGTTCGGGGTCACTCGTGTTGTTGTTAATCGACTCGTTAACATTCCTTCATTAATTTACATAATTTGTTTCAATAATGCATCCAATATTGCGGGGCCGTTATTTGTCACAGAAACTTTATAGTTTCGATCGAATAATAACACGTTGTAATTTTGAAACTATGGTTCGAAAACATAATGTTGTTTTGCTCCCCGTATATTATCTAGGCATTTATATGAC